TAAATATAGTAATAAATGATATAGAAAATAAGAATAATTATGAAATAAATAAAATTATAACAAAATGTAATATTCCACAACTAGGGAAAAATTAAGGAATTAAGGAATTTTATATCACTATGGTAATAATATAATTGAAAGATACTTTTATCTGTAAAAATAATCTGATTCCAGTCAAAGTCTTGATATTATCTTGTCTATGTTAGTCATTTTTTTTGATATTTTTCAGTAAGTAATAGTTTTTGAAGTTCATTCAAATATTTTGCTTCTGATATAACAAGATGTTGCCTAACTATTCATGAACTAACTTTGACATCTTGACACTCAAGTCATTACTGTATTTTACTAGATGTTATATTGTATTTATTCTCTATCCAAGTTATAATTTTTTTATCTTGTACTATACTTGTATTATATTTCTGATCTAACTTTTTTTGGTTACTTAGATCTTTATTTTCTTGATATCTTTTGACCCAATAAATCACCATAGATTTATTACAGCCAACATAAGAAGCTGTTTTTTCAAAACTGAGCTTTGGTCTCTTTGGATATTGATGCAAAAAAACTATTTCATATCATTTATATAATGATAAAGATATTTTTTGGAGATATAAAAATCTGATTGTTACCCAGCCCCTTTAAAATGATTTCACTGATTCAAAATAGTAGTATTGATTAGTATTAGTATTATTCTTTCTTGAAAAAAAAAATAAAATACTATTGTATTATAATTTTGGAAAATGGTAGGGGATTGGTTACTTATGTCTACTACTGTAAATAAAAATAAAAAAGAAAAAAGAAAAATAATAATAAGAAGAAGAAAAATAAAAATAAAAATAAAAATTACTAAATTAAAATTAATAAAAGTAATAAAGAAAAAGAAAAGTAATATAATTATTTAATATTAATTTTAGTATTATTATCTTATTTTATAATTAAATAATTATAAATTAAAAATAAATATCTTTACAAGTTAACTTCTAAATATAATTTCAAAACTAAAAAGTAAATTAGTAAGAGATATTAAAAAATTAAGTAATAAAAAAATATATTTAGCTAAGAAAATTTTATTATTATATATTATAATATAATAGTAAAAAATATAAAAATATTATTAATAAATAAATATTAATTTAGTTAAAAATGTAATATTTAATATATTTAATAATTAATATTAATAATAAAAAGAAAGTATTGCTTGAAGTAGTTAATAATTTATTTATTAAAATACAAAATAAAATTATCTTAATTAATATTATAATAATATAAGTAATATTTTATTATATTATAATTAATAATAACTAATTATCTAAAATAAAACAAAGATTAAATTTCAAGAATTTAGTAATATATTTAGATTAAATAATAAATAGCTTAATATATTAATTAACTACATGAAAAGACAAAAAAAGTGATAAAGAAATAGAAGAAAATAGTAAAGAATATAATAAAAAACATATAAATAAATAACTTTTCTATTATAATAAATAAATAAATAAATACTAAGAAAATAAATAAAATAGAAAAAGAAATAAAAGAACAGATCAATCAAAAAAGGATTCTATTATCAATATGAAGAAATAGAAACTAAAGACAAAATTTCATACAGATATTTTGATAAAGAACAAGAAGAAAATTCAATAATTTTATGAAAGATTACTTAGATCTATTTGTCTGAAACAAGAATAAATTTGGCAAGATATTTTTGATAAAATATAATAAAGATACTGAGGAATCAAAGCCAATAAAGCAATTCTATTTGTTCAATTATGTAATTTCATGAATCACTTATTAGAGGCATAATAAATAACTTATGGAAAGTGACTATTACAATTTGGCAAAATGTAAAGTTCAGAAAACTGGACTATTCAAACAGATAATAAAATTCATACAGTTAAAATTGAACAAACCAGTCAGTTGGATTAATTTTACTTGAGATTGAACAAGTTATAATTATGCCAATTAAAAATATTATTAAGTTATTTGAAATTCAGAAAGTCAAAATATTCATTTAAATTAATCTGCCTTCCAAGCTTAAGAAATCAGATTGGATGAATTTTGATCAATTTAATAAAGTGATTGAATAAAAAAGAGACAGTGATATTTAGGAAAATTCATTGCCCCTTTTTCAAATTTATTATGTTATCTTGAATAAAAACTAACCAACATAGCATGATAAACATTACCTATTATTTTTTTAAAGAGCTTGTTGAATTTGATCCAAAGATTAATAACTAAAATATGTATTATTTGAATGTTCAATCAGCATTTTTGAATGCAGAAACTTGTGTTTAAATGAAGTCAAAAAAATCCATCATGCTTATTATAATTACTGACTATGGAATTTATTTGGTAATTACAAAAAGTTATCAAGACAGATAAGTACAGTACATGTGTATAGAAGAAATCAACTTTTCCAAACAAATTGAAAAGGCTCAATTTAGGGATTGGTATTTAAATATTTTTCTGTATGAAAATGCAGAGTAAGAACTATTTATATTGATTATATAAATAATTTCGATGAAGCTACTTTTTCTAAAAATATTACGTATGAATTTTTTTGTCTATAATAAAATTTTAATTATATTAAAAAAATGAGAGTTTATATTAAACAAGTGCATTATTTTAATTAACGAGATATACTAGTTTAAAAGTATCGAAGCGGCCTAAATGTACATGTATATACACCAAGTAGTCACGCATCTAATTAAATAAACTATCGACATGTGCAGTCACCGTAGTAACATTTAAAATTCGTAATTCCTTTAGCGTGAAAATCGTTACTGTTCTCGTAACAATCTACGTTTAACGTTAATAATGGCTCATTAATATTAATATTAACGTTAACGTAATAGTCAATATTTTGACGTTTCGGGAATATCTTTAACAATTGATATCTAAAACTTGGTAATAATAGCTTTTGCAATAATTAACGTTTGACATTTCGTAATAATAGATTTCACAGTAATTGACATTTAACGCTTCGAAACAACAGTTGACGCTTTGTGTTAGCCACTATCGTAATTGACATTTGACACTTCGCAACAATAATTAATGCTTGATAATGTTTCTTAAGTTCTTTAATTTTTTTACTTTAATTTTTCTATTTACTTTATTCTCCTCTAACGTTATAATGTCTTTTAAACAAAGAAATGACAGTAAAGCATGTAATTACACGTCTTTGGAATATCTTTGACGTTAGATCGAGACGCATAACAAACGCCAAAACATATAATAGAAACTTACCATTATTAATTCTGTAAAGGCCCATATGTATATAGAGGCAATTTCTTGTCTTCTAAACAAGAACAGGACAACAAAAAGTTAGCTTGAGAAAACTATTTTGCTTGTAAATATCCTATTGTTGTTACTCACTCTTAAAGCTTGCGTGCAAGTGTCTTTTATTTCTTTTGTGCCTAACATAAATTGATAGTGGAAGAACTCCATTTTAAATAAGCTATATTTGTTTGTTTGTTGGCATTTGGATAAGTCCAACCATTGAATTTGATTAATTGCTTTATTGTTGAAATTGCTTTGTGCCTAATTTTGGGTTCTTTGTTTGTTGGCGGTGTCAATTTCTTTTGTTAGTAAGCAGATATACACCTAATTTCGTGATCATTCCCCAAACCCCTTTTATTACTCCTTATAGTTAGTTTTCGTAAAAACTACCACAGGAAGTCTTTAGAACGATTAGAGAGCTCCTCTTCTTGTAAATCATCCGGTCAAACCTTCCCCACCATTTTGTTGCACCCTATTTTTAGATATAAAATCTTTAGGAGGTGGCGTAATAGTATTCATTTACATATACCGATTTTTTATCGTCATTTACGAACGTACAAAAATCATGACTGAATTTACAAAAAATCTTATAAAAGATTTGACCAAGCTTTTACAAAACTCGGACGAATATAATATTAGTATCATTGCTGGGGAAAATAAAAATACAAAAACATTTCAAGCACACTCTCTTATTCTGCGTGCACGTTCTCCGTATTTTCGTCGTGCATTATCAAATGATTGGGCAAAGAAGGAGGGTGAAATAATGATTTTTAAGAAACCAAATATTTCACCGCAAATTTTTGAGCTTATGCTCAAGTATGTATATGATTTTATTTTTATTTTATAATATAATGAATTTAAATCCTTATATCAATATACATGATAGGTATTTATATACCAGCGTAATTGATCTAAATACAAAAAGCGGAGATGATGTTTTAAGTTTACTCATTGCCGCAGATGAATTAGAAATCTACGAATTAATTCATGGTGCGCAGAATATTTTAATTACAAAAAAGTTCACTTGGATTGAACAAAATCTCGTAAAGATTATGCATACCGTTTCGCTTCACGAATCATTTAAGAGATTAAACGAGTATTGTCTTAAAACAATCAGCGAACAACCTCATATAATCTTCGAAGCTAGTGATTTTTTATCTCTGGAAGAATCAGTGCTCGTGTCCATGCTCAAATGCGATGATCTAGCTATGGATGAAATTGAAATCTGGAATTCAATTATCAAATGGGGTAAGGGAAACACTTTGAACTTACCTAAGAGACCTGTAATGGAATGGAAGTCTGAAGATTTTGCCGCTCTCAAAAAGACTCTTCATCAGTGTGTCCCATTGATTCGATATAGCGATATCTCAGCCGTTGATTATTTCGAAAAAATATTGCCTTATAGGAAAATCCTCCCGAAGGATATGAAAACGGAAATTTTGAGTTATCATATTAAAGATTTGACCCCACAACCTATTAAAGTTTTACCTCCACGTTCAGGCTCAATTGAATCTGACATTATTAATTTTAAACACACTAAATTAATTTCTTCATGGATTGATAAAAAAAATAACTCCAAAGAATCTCACAATTCGCGATATAAATTTAAACTCCTTTATCGTGGTAGCCGTGATGGTTTTGAAGCCATAAAATTCTGTGAGCTTTGCGGGACTTTAACAGGAACGGTGGTAGTGGTGAAAATAAATCAAACTGGAAAAATCATTGGCGGTTATAATCCTACTAGTTGGCGCGGAAGTCCTATCAAAAGGGATGTCAATAGAAGTGTATATCTTCTCAATAGTAATAACTATAGTTATCTTAATGCGCCTGATGCATTTATATTTTCCTTTGATAAAAACGATGTTAAAAGTGCAAAAATTTCACGCAACAACTCAAGAAATCAAATAGCATATAACCCTTATCAGGCTCAGACTGGTCCTTATTTTTATAACGATTTATTTATTAGTAGCAACTGTGATCAAAATCAATCGAGCTGGTATCAATATTCTTACTATAACACTCAAGATCTATGGGATGAAAATAGTTTAGGCCTTCGACATGCTTTTAAAGTAGAAGAATATGAAGTTTTTGAAATTCAAAACATGTAATGTTACCGTCAATTCCGTTATAAATTATTGGAGTACATGTATTTTTATTTTACTTTTTGTTACCATTATAATTAAATATTAGTTACTTGCTTTCATTAATATTTTTGGCAATACATGTATTATTTCGAACTTATGTAACTAAAGTGTCAAAATTTATATAATTGTATCGTTTCTTGGATAAACTAAGTTCAAATTTATATACTCCACATATTACATGTATAATCTTTAAAATTGCTATTTTCTCGTGTCTCTATTCAACGAAAAATTTATGTTTGGTGTTGTGCTGCATTGTTGGAAACTAACTGATCTAGGTCATTTATATTCGAACTTCTAGGTTATTTTTGTTATGAGCTATACAAATACAAACGATGAAAAGAAATGAATTATGAAAGAAGATTTTATTTTATGATTAACCTGGTAAATTGTAAAACTCTGTTTTTTTTAAAAAAAAAGCTATACACAACAAGCTCTGGAAGGATGAATTTATTTTATTCGTCATCTATTGGACACTACGCGTTCGCATCACGCTAATAATTTCCCATTTCGAGTTACCTTTATTGACAATAACTCTAACGAACATTTAGTTCATTGATAATTTATGGAGCTGGATTTTCGCTCGAATATATGTGTCGCCACAAAAAGTAACGCCCGATTTGCATGTGTAACATATGCGTCGCGTTTTCCCATTTTTTGTTATTGTTAACCCTAATTTTTTTTTATTATTTTCTTTTACTTTTAAACATACACTAGGTGAAATTTTTTAGGTGTATCAGTAGGCCATCTTTGACAAGGATAAATAAAAATAGTGATTTTTATGAAGTTATGAGTGTCAAGCAAGTTGCAAGAAAAATGTGACGTAACCCGTTTAGAGTATAATGATCTCTTGTCAAGTACAAAAGAAACAGGAAAAACAAAAATTTACCACTGTCTGAGAGACCATAAGCTTATAACCATCAAGAAAAAAATGCATTTACGCAAGAAACTAAAAAAGACATCCCGAGCCATTTCATGACATTGGTAATAAAAAATCTGCGCAAAAACTTACCTGAAGATTCTTTAAGGTAATTTGATCCCTTTTCTTAATATAATTTGCTCATTACAGCTTGCTTTGGTGCTGATTTACTCTATTTGAATTTATTTCATTTTTTTCCCTTATATAAATCAAGTTTTATTTTTTTTGAACATCATGCTCTCTCAAATCAAAAAAATGTGTTGTAATCCGATAGTGTAATGATCTCTGGAAGATCATAGGCTTTTAAAAAAATGCATCTATACAAGAAGCAAAAAAAGATATCCTAAATTATTTCATAATATTGGTAATAAAAAATTCATGCAAAATCTTATCTGAAGATTCTATAAGATAATTTGATTTCTTTTCATAATATAATTTGTTCATTGATTTGAGAAAACATGATGTTTCAAAAAAATAAAACTTGATTTACATTAGGGAAAGAAATTATGAATAGAATTAAATAGAGAAATTAATGAATATTGTGTTTTCTTCATAAAAACATCTTTAAATTATTGGAGAATAATATTTTAAAATGTAAAAGCTTCTCAAGAATCATGTAAAAGCTCAAGATTATTCTGAAGAAAATTTGATATCTTGGCTTTTAAGGAGATTTTAGGCTGAATATTTTAAGAAATCAAAGTAATATTAGAGTTATATAAAGAATTAATATATTAGTAATTGATAAAAAATATTTCTACATTTATAAGATAAAATAAAATAAATTCAAAATTTTATTTTTTAAAAAATTTGAATATTATTTTTTGTGATAACTATATATATACATGTATAAAATAAGTTTTTTATTGAATATATAATATTATCTAGTTATTAATATTATATATATTAGAAATATTAAAAATATATATAATATATTATCATAATTATATATATATATATACTGTATATATCTTCAAAATAAGTAATTTTCAAAAATAAGTAACTTTCATATAAAATATATAAAATGATAGATATTAAATATAAGTAATTCTTTAGATATTTTATTATATTATTAATTAAAAAGTTAAATTTTTAATATAAAATTTTAAAATATATTAATATTTTTTTATATTTTTCTTGGATACTTTATTATATAATAAACTTTGAAATATAATTTATTTTATACTTAAATATAAAGAAATTTACTCTTTGATTTATTAAAATTCTAGATTTTTTGATTATTTATTCTTGAAAATATATATTAATAAACTAAAAATTATTAATTTTACTATAAAATATTTAATAAATAATAAATATAATAATAGATTTTTTTATTTATTAATATTAATATTTATTTTATATAAAAAGAATTTTTATAAATTTTTAAAATTATCTATATAATTATATATAATAAATATCTGATTTATAAGAAAATCTCTAAAAATCTTTGCAATTTATCATAAATTAAGTAAATAATAAATACAAAATTTTTATATTATAATTCTTTATAAATTCTAAATTTATATTATATATTATAAAATTTTATTATAGTCATTTCTCTTTATAAGCATGCAGTTGATCATACTAAAGTAACGTGATTATATAGAGATGTGATTATATAGAGATATAAATATATAAAAATATAATTAAATTTAAAATAGCTTTATTTAATAATATATATCTTATTTAGTATTTTGAGATAGAAAATAACTAGTAATTGAATGTTATTTTTTTGAATTTACTAATATTTATCAATAATTTTACTATACTTTTTGAATATTTTAATATCATTCATATTAAAATCTGAAGATTCTTGTTATTTAAAAAAAGCTGATCAAGTTTGCAAAGTATTATATACTTGTTATATAGATATAATAGATAGTTCTTTATTTAATATATCTAAATCTTATTTAATTTGATCTTGTTCTTCTTGTTGAATAATAATAATAATTTATTTGTCAGTTAAAACTTCTTTAATTAAAGTTACTTTATCAAGATCATAAAAAAAGTTGGTTATAAAAGAATTATTTTTTGTAAGTAATTCTTGAAGAATAATATCAAGATCATTATAATCTAATAAATTAGTATAGTCTTGAATTTAAGTAGCAAGAACTATGTTATTATCTTCTATTATTGATAAAATTCCTATTTTTTTTTAATAATTAATAATGACATCTTGACTTATAATATTTTAACTTTCTATTATATAATTTATTACATATTTGATATCTAATTTATATCTTTAAATTGAAAAATATAAGTATTAGTGATTAAAAATTAATATTATAATACTTACTTATTGATATTCTTGTCAGCTTCAAATTAAGCTAAAATATGATAATAATATAAAGCTTTATATTTATTCTTAAAGCTTTTGATAATGTCAGTATCTATAGGTTACAAGTATATCATTATATTTAATTATAAAAAAGCAATTTTGATATGAAACAAATAATAACTATTTTATATAAATATACTTTCTTCTTCTACTTTTTCAGAATTTAAATCAAAATAAGTAGCAGTATTATTGATTAAAAATAGAATTTTTTTATTTTTAATTTGAAAGTATTCATTAAGTTTTGAAGTTATTCTTTAAATAAATTACTATACATTCAGATCTTAGAATTTGCATAATAGATAACTAGAAGAGAATTCAGATTAATATATCACAAATATCTTGATTATATTTAAAGATAGCTTCTTAACTAGTTGCAACTTGCGATAGTTAATCAGAAAATTATGATAAAGTTATGATAGCCAATCAGAGAATTGTAATAGAATTGTAACTAATTGTAACTTTCATTATTAGTCATGCTAATTTTCTAATTATTCAAGATTTTAGTTTGTATATTTTAGAAGTATTAGCTTCTAATAAAATTATAACACTTATTTTATTCTAAAAATTGATTTTAAATTAAGAATATATATTTAGTAAAGTATTTTAATTAAATTTTAACTTACTTTTTTTTAATCATAAATTAGTACTATAGAAAGAGTTTGATTTGGTATTATATAATAAAATAAATCTATTTTATTGATATTATAAATACAGTCAAGAATACAATAACTGAGAAGTTCTTGTAACTTTTGTCATTCTGCAGATAGAATTTCCAATAGAATACTAGCTACTTTATTATATATCTGATAAATATAAAAATTATTATACTTTTTAAACTTGTTAATTCATTTATTTGAGAAAACTATATTTTCTTCAATATTAAAAGTTCTTGTAAATTTCTTAACTTTTTCTTTAATCAATAATTTAATAATAATTAATTAGATTATTATTATACTCTTTATTCACAAATCCATAGCTTACTTAAATAATAGAAACTTTAATAAATAATAGTGATATATTTTTTAAGTAATGCTATTAGATATAATAGCAAGCTATTTTTCTTTTTGTAAAAGAATTCTTTAAGTAAGAGATTTTTATTATTAAAATGCTAGATAATTTGAGCTTGAGTATAATTAATATATTTATTTGAAAATTCATAAATTTATTATTTTAAATTATCATTAATAATAATTTATTAATATTTTATTTAAGATTTAACTAATATAATAATAATAATAATAATAATAATGAGACAGCTATAATAATGATAATAATAATTATAATAATGATAATAATAATAATAATAATAATAATAATAATAATAATAATAATTATAATAATAATAATAGCTATAATAATAATAATAATAATCATAATATGATGATAATAATAATAATAATAATAATAATAATAATAATAATAATAATAATAGCAATAATAATAATAATAATAATAATGATAATAATAATAATAATAATAATAATAGTATCAATGACAAGATCTTTTTAATTTAGCCAAGCTATACAAATATAATACAAAAGATATATGAAAATAAACTGAATTTTAGAGAATCAATAAATAAACTAATTCTCTTTCAGTAAAGTAATAATACTAAAACATCTCTAATTTCCATTCTGATTCAAATCTAATTTCTTGATCAGTATATAAATATATTTTAAATTATCTTGTAGTTATTTAAAAAATCAAATTTTTTGATTAATTATATTTTTTTCTAATTGATTAATCATAAATTTTGTAATTATAAAGAGATTAATATCAATATATAAATATATAGCTTAGTTATAAGAAATCTTGTGATAGTGATTATAAATAGTATTGTAATTGTAAAAAATTTGAATATACAAAGTTATACAATTATATAAAGATTATGATTATAGAAGAAGAAGAGTACTTATATAGAGAGATAACTATATTTAATAAGAATTATTAAATTAAATTATCTTATAATATTATTAATAATTCTTAAATTTATTAAAAAATTATATATTTAAATAGAAAAATAAAAAAATAAAATATATTAAATATTAAATATATAATAGTGATATTACAAACTATACTTTAGAAGATAGGTTTT